ATGGAGCTAAAGGTGAGCTGCTGTAAATACAGTGTTTGATCTGATTATTCCCAAACAATTCCCTTATAGCTAGAGCAGATTCTATGTCAACTCCCTCCCCCCACATATATGTCACACACATATAAGCATGCACAGTTAGTCAGGAACCAGAGAAAGATTATCATTGCCCGGTAAACTATCAGCTTATGTGGCGTGCCTATCTAACCTATTAAGATAGATTAATTGAAAAATAGTCGCGTTCTCTAACACCTGCGCATTGTGATTGGCAAAATCATGAATAGATTTGTTGATGTTTTCAGATGTCAAAAACTAAGTGAGTCGTGTCAATGTGGAGGGTGTCGGCTTTCATATCCGCGGGCCTCGAGTTTTTTCTCAATACAAATTTGTGAAAACGAAGCACAACCGAGAACAAATTCTGTTTGATTACACAGTTCTCTCCTAAGAGGCAATTATGGAAACAGGGATACGAACATACTGAACGGGGTCAGCCAGATTAAATAAAATCGCACCCTATCGAAACACGTCCCTTACGCCTGGGTGCCCTCTCACCTGTGAAAATATATCACCGGATTTGGAATAAAAACAAATTCGGCTGTATAGTGTTACCTTTTTATAAAAGATTATTGTAGGGACTTGGCTAAATTGTTGACCAAGCTGAGTGGTAGCTGCGATTGTTGCAAGCTGGTGTTGACATACAAGTGGGGTGTCACAATGGCCACGTCATCGGCACTTCATCGCGGGATAATTGTGTCATTAATCACATTATGCGGCAGGAACGATAACGTTTTCCTAAGCCCTTGCTTCGGTGCTGAATGAATTGAGCGAATGTCAACTAATGGCCCCCTCTCCACTTATGTTGTTTGGATAATGACGGTATTAGTTGGTCTTTATAAATTAACCAAATCATCGATTAATTGAGCATGGATTGTGACCGGAAATTGACAGCCATTCATTTTGATAGAATGCCACATGCCTTGCGTCAGGGCAACAACGCCTAGTTTGAGAATGAAAATAACTCTTTGAAAAAATACATTTTTGTTGTATTGAGAATGATTGGCAAGTTAGCGAAGAAGTAATGTTTTAAAAACATAAATGACGTGTGTTGCCTCTCCAGAGGTGCGTCAAATATTTTTTCTATTTCTGTGATAATAGTTTCATATTATTTCAAAAGAAAAAATTGATTTTTTATTAACAATGACATTTTTTATCCTGATAAAAGAGGTAACAAAGGAAAAATGGTGTCCAAAAAAGATGCCTGAATAAATAAAGACAGGGTATTAATTTTAAAAGTTGCCAGTTTTTAATTAACCTTTTTGTCCGACTTGCATCGAATTATTTTTGCTGGTCTCCTAATACAGAAATTTACCTGTGTATTTTAAAGTAACAGCATAAATAGTGCATGTGCGTTTCTACCCGTTAAAACTCATGTGAATATATATGAACAGATAAAAATAATTATCTGCGATGCTGGAATTTAATTTAAAACAAAATTATTACGAAGTGTATGTCCAACGTAAGTAAATGGAAATATATCTAAAATGAAACATTATTTTTCTTTTGTTTTTAGACCTGAAACGTATCTCTATTTTACCATCGGGCCGACAAGCGGATATCAATTTGCAGTGCATCCGAACTGATCGCGTCGTTTTGCGTTGCAGCATTTAAAACCCACAGCCTTGCCTAACCACAATAAACATTGACTATCGATTCCATTTAACTTTGGCCGGCGGACGTGCTGACCTTCACGCTCTAGGATCAACTTTCCTGCAACTTTCCCACTCTCGCCATGGCACAGAACTGAGTCTCGTTACGTAACGCGATATTTTGAGAGATTACACCACCATATTACACGCCTCATTTGCTGGTTAACTGAAATCACACCTAGGGAAGCGAGGGTAAAATACGGTGAATATTCAAAGATCGACTGTATTGATTTTGAAATCTGTAGGCGAACTGTTGAAAGATGTATTTACTCGTCATTTTTTTTTTTTTTTTTTTTTTTTTTTGTGCATTAGTTTTCTGATGAATAAGCGGGATGTTAGATTTTTTTTTTGCTTTTTTGCCGATTTCACCAGTTGCCAAATGTACATTTTAATTTATGTATTCAAGTATTTCTAGATTACTAACTATGTGGTAAATTATTGTTAATTAATCTTTTCTGATCTCTTGTTGATTTCAAACGAAATTTGAGACAGATAATTTTTGTATAAGCAACACCTAAGCTGCTTTACGTTTTTTATTATTTTTTTTATTATATTTTTTCCAAACTGAAGGCAAAACTAAGCATTAAGCCAAATTAATATTTTCCCTACACATTTTTACTTTCTCTTTTATACCCCAACCGACACTTGACGTCACATGTAAGTTGAGCAGTGGTTTGTTAAAAAAACATTCGAAAGCTGATGGTTATACATTATATCATAACAATAAATTGAATTACCAAATGACGTTTTATGTAAGTCATTATTTATCTCTTAAAATAAATATTAGAGGTGGAATTTTTTTCCTCACACCATAATTAAAATTCTAGTGATAATTGGGGTTTTCCCTTTCCTCTTTCTATTTATGTTTTCTTTCCAAAATATTTCCTATAATAAAATTCGACCAAAAAAAATAATGTAATCAATTGTAAAATGCGGTTGGCATTTAGGCTTGCCATCAGTGCCAACAAATTCAGTTGTAGTTAGGCCTATTCTGGTACTTTCAACACGTCTCCCAAACATAGGGTCAAATAAGGTTATGTGAAATCAGCCTGGAACTCCTGCTTAAATGGTGATTTCGTCTAATCCCTTTTTTTATCGGACAGACTCCCCAAAGGTCATTATATATCATACCCGTACGCAGCTGCGTTATCTTTTTAAAAATATTTTAGGTAACATGTGGATTTTTGGTTTGAGGTTGTCGCACCCCCGCCGCGAGGGGCTCTCCCGTGAATGGTTCACTGGCTTGCATGTATCCATCGGATTTTCACCTCAGAGAGCACTGATGAAAGCCATTCGTCGTCTCAGTGTTTGATATGTATGTCCTAGCACTTTTGGAGTGGGGTATTCTTCTGCCTCATTTGCGTGTTTAATTGTGAGGGAGGAGCGATGTAATTCGAGCCAGCCCTTTAATAACACGAGAGAAATGGAGTTTTCTATTCAGTCTGTGTTTATTTTGTAATGGGATTACCTGCTAATGAAAGCAATGGTTTGGACAAGGGTGCTTTTTCACACTACAAATAGGAAACATTTATAACTTCCATAAACTGGTAATGTACGCAATGCTTGGACCAACAGAACATATGTTAGGCAATATTTTCTTGCTACTTCAGAAATAACAAATATCAGAGAAAAGAATTTTGAAGAGAGAGGAGGGCAAGCGATAGTCAGGTCACGTAAAATCTGACCTTTAAATCAGGTGGAACGCCATAATTTTATTCGATCTGTTCGATGTGTTTATGGAGAGTTTTGACAGCCTAAGTGACATGTTTTGATTCTTATTTTTAAAAGACGTTGCATTGGTTGAATAGGAAGTATATGGTTATTCTTATGAATGCCATGTGATTCACTTGCTTCTTGACACCACTCTACGGTTTATTTTCTTAGTATACCAGTCAGTCTCTCTCTCTCTCTCTCTCTCTCTCTCTCTCTCTCTCACACACACACACACACACACACACAAAGACAATATTATGGCTGAATCTGATTTTCTAATTGTGTTCAATTGTTTACGTAAATTCTTTCTTCTCATCACGCAACCCTTCCATTAATATTCTCAGCACATTCACCAGGCGAATCAACTAGTAAGTTTCTTTGGTTATAACAGATTAAACGGTTTAAGTACCCTCTACTTCAGCCAAACCTTACCAGCAAGAACTTGATCTCTCACTGCTTTTTCCGTTAAGCATTTTTTTTCTACAGAACAAACTTGACGTATTGTCGTTCACTATAACACGCATTTCAGACATCAGAAACTTACAAAGGATGTCTTTATAACCCTCGCCTATCTCGCCCTCTTTCCTCAATTACTGCGATGTTGCAATTATGAAGGTATTACTTTTTCCCGAGCGGAAAATCGGAGTAGAATGTCAAATAATGTCCTCTCGACGGGGTCTACGCTCGCATCGCAGGGTTCAATAATTAACGAAAAAAGTAACAAGAAACCGTACACTTATCTTGAAAAAGATATAAAAAAGCTGTTATTTCACATTACATCCACATAGTAACTTTAACGAAAATAATCGCTTCACTAGAGAAGCTTGACATGCCTAGGCTAGAGCGGGTGAATGTGTAATATGACGTCTTTAGACGAAGAACCTTCGGAGGGCGGGAATGTGGAATTTGTGGTGCGTAATCCTTGCTTTTCCGCACTTTAAAAAGATTAAACCCAGTGAAAGCGAAATTTTGTTTCAAACAAAAATTAAGAAGGCAATTTAAAACAAATTGATAATCTCAAAAGAACCATTACCAGTCATAAATTAATGTTAAGGTGTAAGATAATATATATTCATTTTTAGGCGCGTTTGAGATGATAATACTTCATTAAACATATTTTATGTTTTTCTCTTCATTTTCTTTCTTTCTTGTTTTCTAAATAAAATAAGCTGAACTCCCGTAGTATAAGAAAATATTTTTCAAATGCATAGATATACTGCATTTTGGAACCATGGTACATGTTGTATCATTGGACCAAAACTGTGTTTCAGATGAAAACACTGAAAAAAATTTTTGTCAGAATTTCTAATAGATTCAATTTGTAGGCAGATTATCGTAATTAGTTAAGAAACGAAAAATAGAAAATATTGACATATTGATTGAACTAAAGCTACTACTAGGGGATTTTTTTTTGAAGAACCCATTCTATCTTTCGTCGTCCTTACGAGCCTCTTTATCATCTTGCTTAATTGAGATGTCAACCAATAGTATCTAGTTTCCCAGCAGCTTAAAGGTGAGGGGAGAGCTATGCTGAATGACTATTCAGGCGTAGTAATGCGCGCTAGTACTATTTGCTAGCTTCGGCGTGAGCACAGCCGTAACACAAACAGTCTAAACAAACATCAACTACCTTGATCTGAAAATAAGTTGTTACACTTTAACCGGAGAGTGACAGTCTAGAGAAACAGCTGCCGCTTTCACACGAGGTACGAAGGAAGCGTGAATTGATTTTCGTCCAGATTTTTCCTGAGCTTAGGAAACATCGAAATAACTGTAAAACGGACCAAATTCGATATTTCAAAGAAAAGCTAAAAGAAGGAAAGGAAAAAAATAGTGATGAGTGCAACCACAGGCCCTGACAGCGAGACACCCGTCAGTAGTTCCCAGCCACCGCAAATGCAACATCCCCTCTTTATCCGTGCGGCCGAGCGCTACCCAAGAACGCCCAAATGTGCACGGTGCCGGAATCACGGCGTCGTCTCGGCGCTGAAGGGACACAAACGCTACTGCCGCTGGAGGGACTGCGTCTGTGCCAAGTGCACCCTGATCGCGGAGCGTCAACGCGTGATGGCGGCCCAGGTTGCGCTTCGCCGTCAACAGGCGCAAGAAGAGAACGAAGCCAGAGAGTTAGGGTTGCTGTACGGCCCTGGGGGTCTTCTCAGCATGAACCCAGAGAACTTCACCCCCGATATTAGCCGGCAATACTCCGAGCTGAACTCGTACGCTGGAAAGATCCACAGTAGGGACAGCGACTCTGGAAGTCCAGGTAAATAATCTCTATATAATTTCCATCATTTGTTTCTATTCAATTAAATTTGATACGTGTTGATATTTTGATGCATTCGGGCGATTACTGATTAGCTAAATACTTCTTAATATTGTATAGCAAATATATATTTTTAATGAGGAAAGCAAGACCGGAATTGTTTGTTTTCGAACAGCTTCAAAAGCGATAGCTGTCGGCATGTTTTTTGTTTTTTCACATCTGCTTAATTTTGAAGTAATTTCTAGAATTGTTGGCAAACTATATGTGTTTTACGTCTTTTTATGATGGTGACTTTAAATAATGTATACACTCAAACTTTCTATATGTGCATGAAAAATGACAAAGTCCTGTAAAATATGGCTAAAGTAATGATACAGAAAAGAAAAATGTACTGGGCATCGGTTGTCTACCGTCAAAGAAAAGCTTTCAAGTTTTTTCTTTGAAAATATGTTGTTTCATTTTTTTTACTAATCTCTTGATTCAGGCGACTATTTGTAATGAGGTTGGATATTCATAATTTAATTTCAAACAGAAGTCCTTTGAAGATTTCATTGAGGCGTGATCTTTTGATTAAATAGCTACGTGAGGTAACATATTTTGAATTATTTGAAATGGAACGATAATTTGCAGAAGGGTTTATGAATATACTTTTTAATATATGTTTTGGACGTCGCCATTGTTCTCTGGAGGGTGATTAAACAAATTATGAACTCGCGTGTGGTAATAATGAAAATTCCACAGCCCGCCGTGTACCCCCACGATGGGGTTTAAAAAAGTATTCAGAATATATAAAAGTTATTGTATAAAATCTTGATTGCATAACGGTGAATAGGAAGAGGCCGGTTAAGAGTAACTCAGGGGCCGCTGAAGATGTTTCTTTTACACTTACACCTGCGAGCGTGTTGTAGAAAGCACGAAAGGTGCTCATCGTCAGAATAAAGCTGAAACGCCTGTGCAAACACCACCATTTTCCGCTTAATATCCCCACAACCTGCATAATTTTTATGCAAACACTCGTAAAAATATGGTCCCCTGAGCAGCCGTTTAAAGCCTACGTGACCAGCCTGGATAATAGGACAGAAAAGGAATTTAAAAAAGGAAAAAGGACAATCTAACACAATTTTAATCAAAAATAATTCGAAATGAAAATGTTTTCAAATCATGAGAGTAAAAGATACATCCTTGTCCAAATCAAGAGCAGCTGCTTCTAAAAATTCATGTTTTGAAATTGAAAAAGAGTGCAGCAGTATCCCCCTCTTAGAGAAAGTATAAAGAAATTATATTTTCACATTTTTATGTTTGTATCTTTCCTTATCAATAGCTAAAAAGCCTCGCTAAATTTCTTTCTCTTTCAATGAGCATGACAATGAATATGCTATATTCTAAATAAATGATAAATGAAACGCCTTAGAATTTCAGCCCTTTTTTTACGCGGCGAATGGCTTTGTTTCCTTTCTCTCGATCACTCAAACGAAAAAGGAGACTTTTGCCACCGCTCAGGTTAAAGCGATAAATGCTGATGGTCTTCCGATTGTTGATTAATCTTTTAATTTGCAATATTGTCATCACACGCCACCGTTAGCCCTCAATGTTTTATTGCACAATGACGTGTTTTTCTTTCACATAAAACGCGCAAGTTGACCAATAAATAAAACAGAAATACATGAAGTTGCACTTAACGGCACATTTCGTGAGAAATTGACGAGAATTTGAGCCGGAAAGGCACTCCGATATCGGCCATAATTACCGCACTAGCATCACGCCGTATAAACTTTAACAATTACTGATGATAAAAGATCCAATAATCGAAAACAATGTTTCGACTCCCTTCCTTTGATCCTTATCGAGATGCACATTTATCTCGTGGAAACACAATAAATTTTCTTAATTCTTTAATTAAACGACGAGGGTGAGAATCGAATCCGATTTCGCAGCCGTTTATTGAGAGGGAAAAAGTAAAGCGGAGTACTCCATGAACGGAGGGCGCTGCGCTAAATTAAATGCTGTTGATTGATCGACTAACGGGAGTGGAACACTTCACACACGGCAAGTTGTTTTAGCTTTCATTTTTCTTTTCACTCTACTATGTTGCTATTTTGACATCACAGGGAGAAAGAGAGAACGAAAGAGAGACAGAGAGAAAAAGGGAATGATACCATGAAAATTAATCAAAGGTTTATGAAGATCAAGAAAAAAATCTCCAAAACATTATGAGTTCCATAAACTCAAAGCCCTCCAAATCTTTCATTTTCTTTTCATTTTTCTTACGAAACTTCTTTCAATCGTTTTCAGAGTGATTACCTCTTGTGTCGGCATATTTTTCTTTCAATTCAAAGTAATTATCCTTTGTTGACTCTTATTAAGGTGAACATTACCAATTATTGTTATCATAAAAACCTTAATAAAACGATCAGCATGCGCCTAAGCTGTCAGCTGTGACAGACAAAGGGCGAGAAAAGATTGTCAATTTCAAATGCGGAGTTATAGCGTTTTTATTCAATCAAATATTGCCGTCAAAGGGGCGATTGAAGTAACATAGAGCGTAAACAGCCATGAAATAATTTCATTCATTTGCAAATCCATTCTTGGACAAGAGGCGAGATAATGAAAAAAATGAAGGCCAAGTGAACATGACAGAGAAAAGGATTTTTGGATATCAATTCAATTTATAGATGGAAAAGTCAAAAGAAGTACACGTTTTTTTTCTTGTGTGTGTGTGTGTGTGTGTGTGTGCGTGTGCTGTGAACGGTCGTTGTTTGATAATCAGTGCACACTTATATCTTAAATCGATTACATACCTATTAATTTACTTGGATATTAGACATTGCTTGATTTCTTTCACCTTTGCACTTCTGTTGTTGCTCGACAAACAGAACACGCAAAACTTAAGAAATCGTAATCGAGATTTCTTTTTCTTTTTCTGATCCGAGTTCCACCGATTTGGAAGAATTAAAGAAATGACCAAAAGTTCTTTAGTCAAAAATTAATTTCTTTTTTATTCACGAGAGATACATGTATTTCGATATGCCATCTTCCTAGATCTCTAATGCGACACAGAGGGATTTTGATCATAATTATTGATCAAACTAATGAAACATTTAAACATAATAAAGGAATTATTACAAAGCTAAACACCCAAACAGACAGCCAATGGGAAATTACACTATTTTTTCAGTAAAGTTTTTTTTATTTTTACTCAACATAAAACGGTCTCAGGAAACGTACCAAAATAGAACATTGCCGTTTCCTTTTAATTTTTTCTTTGCCAGTACGTTATTAACTTATCTTTTATATTGGTAAATGCTCGATAAAGAATTAAAAAAGATAACGAAAAAATAACCTGTGGACGTCTTTGGCAACTATTTTTTTCATCGATAATGGAGTTTATTTTTTACACTCAACAAATAAACAACAGATAGATAAATCAGAGCGTTTTCAGTAAAACAATTTCACAGCATCCAATTTGTGATTTTCCACCACAGAAGTTTAATTCTATCGTGTTTCTGTTAAAACTGCGACTGTATACAAGCTGCGTCTCCAGCCGCGGTAACCGAACCCCTAGAGGTGAATGTTTGACTCTCCTTTGCCAAAATCCTAAGATCCGCTCTCGCTCAATAAAGCAAAGACAGCAAAAACGACTGATTTGTGTATATTTCCTTCTGCCAGTTGTCGGGTGGTCCGCCGTTACGACAGCTTTAAGTCAGCATTGCCAACCTGTCTAATCTGTAACTGACCGAAAAAGTTTCTATTTCTGCATGCCCGAGCATGGGAGCGAAGCAGGTGTGTGTGCGTGTGTCCAAATGTTGCCCTCACACTTAGTTTTGGGAGGCAATTCCTACAATGCTGACTGTGAAATACTCACACAACGGCGTAACCTTAAATCATTTCCTTCTCAAAATGCCACGATTCAGTTGTGGCACCTGGCATACAGTTATTCTTGCTTGGGAGTCACAAAATGCTTGAATATGACAGAATGCCAGATCGCTAGCCTCTGCGAAAGGCTGTATGCTGGTGTTTTTAGTGATAAATTTGTCACTGTAAACCTCGTACTCCAAGTCAGCTTTCGATTGGATTGATTGAATTTCCTAGAAGTCAAAAAGGCCTGGTGTTTTTCTGGTTTATTTCTTAACGTAAGGTCGCATCATTTTACTAACATTAATTATCAGTCTAATGTCGTGTAACGTGTCGGATTTGCGCAATATAGCGAAAAATAGAACAGTAGATTGTAGTCATTTGTTTTTATAGATGACTAGAACAAACGATTTCAACTGCTTGTGCAAGAGGTTCAAGTTTTTTTAGAACGAGATTGTCTTTTTAAAAGAAAAGATTTGTCTGAAATGTTTATCATAAGGCGGGGAGATTTAATTTTTGCATATTTTGCTGTTTTTATCCATTTCTTGCTGTTGGACTTTGCGCTCTTGTAGAATCATATGAATTATAGGCAGCCCATTTTCGTAATTAAATTAAACTAAAATTGATATTAGTTTAGGAAGGCGGTGTCTAGCATGCCTTTTTGCAACAGCCGCAGAAGCTGGAGTTTAAAGTACTTACCTGCGTGCCATATGCTGAATTGTTAAGCTTGGCTTTTATTTATTTTGCGTACACAAACCCCACCACCTTCAATCAGCTTGGTAAATTGATGGCCTCTTAAAGCAACAAACATGGTAACTGGCTTATAAGAATGTCACATGCCACAAATCATTACATTTAATAATACTTTCATTTTTATTTTTTGTGTCGTGCACGTGTTTTGCCTCTTTAAAGCTGAACATCATTTTTTTACACTACATCTACACGTAGGTCCTATATGTGACATAATAGCCGATGGAAAGCACACGCACGCACGCACGCACGCACATTTAAAATGAGCTATACACATTCGGATTCGGATTTGATTTGAATAAGGTGTTTCAGAGAAAACTTTATCAGTTTTTTTTTTTTTTTTTTTTTTTTTTTTTGTATGGGGTAGGAAATAATGATCACAGCGGCCAACGTAATAAATATATACATTTTTTCCAGATTTAAAGAGGAGAAAATCTGATGCAGACAACATGAGCGACCGATCAGGCTCCCCGGACATCACAACTCCTGGCTCCCCGGAAAAAGCCGGCACCCAACTGCCGGAGACAGACGACCGTCGCGAATCACCAAAACCGGAACGCAAAACCCCGAAAAAGCCAACTAGTGAAGGTGCCATTTCTGGCAGAGCGTCTCCCATCGGCCGCCAACAAGGAAAGAAACCGCCAATAGAAGTCTTAAGTCGGATCTTCCCTCACATGAAACGGAGTGTCCTTCAGCTTATTCTACAGGGTTGTGACAGTGACGTTAGTCAGGCCATAGAACAGGTCCTGAATAACCACAGCGAACACACCGCTTCCGCCGCGGATTTATCCTTGCCTGGAACCAACAGTGCCCTCTACCGGCCCTATCTCCCCTCGACGCCAGTCGTGACAGCAGCCACCGCCTTCAAGTCAGCGTTTTCCCCAATAAGCAGCCTGGCCTCCGCTCAAGCTTTCAGTTCGGCCATGAGGTACGCCTATCCCCCGCATAATGCCCGAGGACTGCTAGCTATGCCCTACCCTCCTCAGTTTCTGCCCAACTTCGCAGGGTACAACTACAGCGCTTTCGCCACTGCGGCCGGGAAATCTGCCCTCGGTTTTCCGGGCATGGTGACGCCTTCGGCGATGACAGACAAACCCGTCGATGTTTGACTTGAGAACTTTACCAATAAAAGTTGATAGACAATCTACAAACTATATCGAAACGAATGAAAGTGACAAATGGTGCTTATATCTCTACCAAGGTTGAGAAACTTTGGCCCAATCAAACCGTTGTGATGAACATATATTATGTAATAACCCCATGTATATAATGTAACGTATTTGACGCTATGACGGACGTAGGTACACCCTATGCGGGGAATGTATGTACATACGCGATAATAGAACTGACAAATTGTAAAAAGAAAATTGATATATTGATATTGACTGATGTAGTTAATCTCTAGAAAACATTTCGGTTGTTGCTATACAAAATAAACATTTTAATGTTTTAACAGCGGGATAGGGTCCCTAATCCCGGCTCGAATATATCGGAAAATGTAAATTGTGCTCTACTAACAAATACTTAGGTCATTTTTGTATATATTGATACTAAGCGGTATATGTTTTGTCAGCGAATTGGGAATGGGTTGTTACGAGGCCCGTATCCTGCCGCTTTTGCTATTGACTGTTCGCCAAATGAACATTAGTTTCGATAAAATCTTTTAAAAATCACCACTATAGGCGCTTGATGTCCATAGATCACCCCAGCAGACATCGCTTTCCCATCGATTAATACTTGTGCACATTTGTATTATTAATCAGAGCAGTGTTTTTATTAATGTCTAAAGTTCTTGGATCGAATTTCCCAACGACGTTTGACTTGAGTGCAATGAATTAATCTCTCACAACCTCTCACACACGTATTATCACGCGTATCATCTTGTCAACAATTGTTACCAAGAGTTTGCGGTTATAATTGATGTATTATTTGTCCATTTGGATTGGAAAGCGTCCTACAATCTGTTATTAATCTGCTTGTATTTATTATAATAAAATATATTGATATGACACAACATCGATCTCGCCGTGGGCCTTGTTTTTCTTCGGTACACAATTAAAGATTGGTTGTTATACAAACAATGAGATAAAAAAGTTATATCTTATAATTAAAATTTGATTTGATTAATTTCCTACAGTTCATACACTGAGGGGCATTATCACATGCATACAAATGCCGCCTCCCTGTATTATAGTTTCAAAAGCTTCCACGACTGCCGATATGGCTAGACCAACGGATCAGACCAGGCGAGATAAGCTTTGATATTTTAATAACTTGATTGTCGCATAATCTATGAAATTTTGGAAACTGAAAGACAGAGTCCCCCACTTAAAAATATCTTCCGGGTAAATGACGAGGGATTTTAATGCTTAAGTAAAGTGACTCGCTTATTGGGCAGATTCCTCAGCATATCCGTGTACATTTATATACAGTAAGAGCGCAGTCGCTTATGCCCATCGAATTTCATGGTGACTTCCTTCGTAGCATTTAAAATAATTAACAGTGACAATCAGTTGAACTGTTACCCTGAGTTTCAGAACCTGTGAGAAATCATGCTTTGTATTCAACTTACTCTGGCCCTTTCTGAAAACGTGACGGTAAGCGTGCGGTGTTATAGTAGGCCTAGAGATGTACTCCGCCAGTACTCTGAACCAAATAGTAAAATCAGTGCAATACTTCAAATCCTTTATCTATCATACATGTATAATGAATTCGAAGAAGATTTAGCCTTAGTCCACCTCTTAAACAACTACAAGTTGATTAGAAACATCCGCTAACACATAACTTTGTTTTTCACAATGAAATACATGGTAAAACTTTGGATGTTATATCAGTTACTATGTCAAGAATCTTATGGCAAAGCCCCGATATTAACGCGCACATTATGCAACGGTCCAGCCGATTAAGCTGTAGACACAGCATATACTTGACATATAGTAATCCTTGAATGTGTCCCCTTTTTATTTGTTACATTAAATGTGTCTAGACTGCTTCCTTTACAGAAGATAAAAATGCAAAATAAAGGTTCCATTTTTTCTTTTATTGTAATTGTTTTCAAGAAGTACAGGGTCTGACATTGTTTTCAACTAGTAAAACATCGCATTACAAATGGGAAAAAGGCATATTTAGATGTCTGTTTTTAAAGACCTCTTCTATTATTGGTTACTTGTACCTTTCTACTGTGTGTCCTGCGATTAATTTCAAAAATATTACAGTAATCTTCATTGATCTTGATTCAGTGTCAGAGTCATGGTACTATATATAGATAAAATAAAAAGCTGCCTGAAACTGGACCCTTGCATTTCAAGAACTTGAAACATAAGGGCGGATTATTTAGGATTCCAAAAGCTTAAAACACATTTGTTTAAAATACAAACACAAATGTGATGTCGAGAATGAAAAACCGACGTTATTTTTAAAATCCTTTCGAGAGCGTCCAGAAAAGAAATCCACGTGGGTCTAGCTCGCACTGTCAAGAGAAGACCAATCCCTCCTTGTGTTGGATCAAGGGCACTTGTTAGTCTTTTAGAGGTTAGTTTGCCGTGTTAATCAAACACTCCATGCCGAAGGCTTTTATCCACCCTGTCGAAGGTGTGTGTGAAAGTATTATGCGTGTTGCAGTTTCTTTTCACGCGTTGTTATTAAGTTGGCAAAACAACTCGTCACATTGGCAGGGCCGGTACATTATGAGAGCAAACACACCCTCTCTCCTTGCGATCAAACGATATTGTTTTGTTAAGCTTTGTACAATCGGGACAGTGTGATCAGATCATTGACCAGCTTTTAAGAAAATAAATACAGTAACAATCGGTTAACGCCATCTTGTATTTCCATCATGTTCTCCCCCTAGGCGCAGTGTAACACGATTGTCTTCGCTTGGTAATTGCATTTGTTCGTCCTCGGGGAAGAAATATTCTCACACAAATTTCATTTCGTCGTCATGTGCGTTCGTGTGAATGATATAAAACCAACCTTTCTGTTCATTACAAAGGGAGATTATGCGATAGAACTGGTGGTAACAAAATAAAGTTGTCACACGTATGGGGTGTTTTAAAAGCACTTTTGTTTTAAAAAACACGTGTAATTTTAAATTTTGGCTTATTTTTTATTATAATATTTTAAGAGAAATCGTAATTTTTTGAAAATCGACTTTGAGTCGAATATATTACGATAGAATTATGGCTGCATCTGCAAAACTGTTCTATCGGTTGGCAGAAATTTGTTCGGCAAAGTTAAATCAATTTCTGTGACAAATACATCAATGTAACATTTTGTTGATATGGCAAAACGACACCGTTACCAACCCATTAAACAACCCCACTAAAAAACAGTAGGACCTTCGATAATATGTGCACTGATGAGACCAATTTGATTTCCAAGCGCGTGCTTTGGAGGTACAGATAAATTGTGTTTAAAGAAACTACTCGTCACCATCTCTCTAGCAGCGAGGATAAGAACCCTAATAATACCATGCTCTGATGCATATTTTTTATCATTCCTAAAAGGTCAGTAAATTTAGTTATAAAAAAACGCACGTATAAGTACAGGCGTGATTTTTTATTTTATAAAAAATCGTTTTCCACTAGGCAGGTAGCGAGCTCGAGTTCGTTACTGTACTTTTCAATTTCACTTGAAGCAAAGTTCGAAGGGCTGGGTTGTTTAGCAGTATTAACTAGTGTCAAGCAGGGTTAGGTGGTTTTACCACGGTGTATCCTGATTAAGGTCTCAGCATGGTTTGCCAATCTAAAAAAATGTGGTCTTGTGAAATCGTATTTTGACACATGGATGAACGCATTTTACCAGGGATTACCATGTAAAACATCTATTTAGAATGGTCTCTTATATTAGATTGCATTCTGAACAGTAGGGCTTGTGTTGAACCAGTTTGGAGCTAATTAGCGACAAAATGTCTCGTCATAGGCATCTATTTCATACATCTATTTCCTTTTTAAATGCCATGTATCAATTTTTTTTCTATTCGTATTGTTATGATAAAAATTCTTAGATGTACAACTGAACAAATCCTTTTAGTTTTCACGATCAGCACGTTTTCAATGCTGCCATGTTTTACAACTAATTTGCACGTTTCAAACCTTTTATCACTACAAGCAGGCAACAATGAGAGACATGGTGGCATGGAGATCCAGATGATCTGATACACAAATAATTCGGATTTTTATCGAGTTAAATCCCTAACAAAAGATTTAAGGCAGTTATTTAACCAGCAAAGGCTTACGCGTTTTTTTCTGAACAAAACGATTTTTACTGTTTGTTTTTCTCCTAATACAAGTGGGCTGTAACTATTTGGAAATCTTTACATCGCATTTAGTGACATGAAACTAACAAATGTGAATTTGAATTCTGAAAGTTTTCGGCTATTTTATGCTACCTTTAAAGACTTTAAAATAAACATGAATACGATATACCCTTTAAGCATTGGATGAAAATTTATCATATGTAAACGACAAAAGTGGTTAGCGCATACCCTGAGCTATTATATACGAAACATAGAGATCCTTTAAATCTGAAAGCTTGTCTGAAAATACATCTCTCTATTTCGCTAATGTTTTACTGTATTAAGTTACGTTGCACCTGAGCTTTCAGTCCGAGTGTGTTTTGAGACCAAATGTTTGCAGAAAGCCTTAAGGAAATAGTAGAGGAAGGGTAGGACACTTTTTCTTTCTTATCAAAAGAACAACAGTAAAAATTTGTCCAAACTTTCAAAGTGGAGAAATTTGATCGCTACTTTTCTACATTTAAGCAGTTGAGTTGTTGTTCTTGAGAAGTGCGTGTTTGTGTTTCACCGGGCTCTTTTACACCTTCCATTATTCGGGGAAGAATGAGAAGGTGCGAAGCCACAAGGCACGAACTACTGCGCCGTTATAGCATATCACCTGCTCCCCCAGTCTCACAATTTCGGCCTCAGTTACACACAGTCACGATTAGTGTTTTCCAGGGTCTGCTCGTGCATCCAATGCCATATTGTCGTAGAACGACTGTTATTGCATAGGCAAGCATTTCTGCAATGTTTTACCCATAAAAAAGAATGAATTTGCCCGACTGCGGATGTGATAAATTTTCCTTCCCTTGCGCAGTCAATATGAGCACTTCCAACCCCACTTTTATCTTGTGTATGCAGCTTTGTTTGTAGCGTGCCGAAGCCTTTACTGAAATTTGTCGACACACATTTTGATAGTGTATGATTCTGTCGGGACTTTTGCAAAAAAAGCTTAAGTTCCCACATTCCCTACGAAGTTTTTTTTTACTTTGAAACTTAAAGGTTTAATTTAAAAATGAAAACGTTTTGCTTGGGGAAAACTGTGCTCCAGTGGTTGTAGAAAATTTAAGACAATTTTGAATAATTGAGAAAGAGAGAGGAGGATAGTGCCAAATTCTTGTTACGTGAAAAAAGCCGGTACGCTTCACAGAATCACAACACATAAAAATCAACTCACTAATCTTTATTGGAAATATCAGGTCAAAATCTAGCCGCAGACGAGCCCTAATTTGCCCTCATCTCTAAGCCTGTCTGCTAATAACATAGCTGTTTTTTGTAAGAAGTAATTTAAGGTCACGAATGTAAGGTCACCGTTTGTGAAATCGTTACATCCTACCCGCCAAATTTGGCTAATCCTTACAACTTGGAGCGGGGCGGAACAAAGCTCTGCAACGGTTGACACAGTCGGGGACTTCATTATTCGGGAAGGATTGAATTTGTTATTTTTCCACGTAATTTACTTATCAATGTAGATTTTGTCAAGTTACAGACACGAGGGCATATGATCACCTAATGATATTGTTAAAACCCAGGGTGTCAGGTAGGCGGCCTGCGTCTGCACTAAGATTACAAACCTTTGCAACTTAAGACGACATTGTTACTCTTCAAGTTACTTTGTTAAATTGGTTTCGCAATTCAGACTCCAGATAAAACCTTATAAAGTTGATCATCATTATCAAAATTTTCAACGTATTAAAGATTTTTATTAAATTGCACCTTTGGATACAACTTTGATCAATAGGTTGCTTGCGCGACTTTTCTTTAAAGCATTTCTAATGGGTATTTTTGTACGATTGCCGCCGATACATTTTACTGTCTTTTTTATAGCAAATTAACCATGCTAGCATTCATTTTTGAGTCACCGAGAGAAAACTAACCGATGCCAATTGCACTGGAGAATGCAGTGCGAAAAAGTACCGAAATACATTACAGTTTGTCTATGAATATAACCTTAGATAGGGACCTACATTTTAAGCCAGCGAAAAAAGTTACAAGCCCCAAAGAACTCCTTGCATAACGAGCGCCCTAATAGATCCTGAGGCAGAAATAGCCTCAGTTGGCAAAATGACAGAATATTAAGATTTAGAAGAACACGAAGGATTCTACGACAAATAAACTTACTTGGCCACGCCGCAAGTAAAAATTTGTTGGCCGAGAATCCTTAGTTGGGCGAAGCCAACAGCCGCCAGTGCTGTCTCTCTCAAGTAAATTTTAGCATACTTAACGCTTTGGTGCATTAAGGTGACATTTTCACTCAAGCTTCCATATGGTTAAATTCAAAATGATAACTCCGATCTTTCACTTGTGTACCCGTTATACATTTAACGTAGAAATACTAAAATGTTATTTGTAAATAAATATTTCTTTTTGTTTTCTCCTCACACACAAGACAAAAACTATTGATTTTCAAGGGCAAAGAAGCCCATAAAAAATGTACTCGATTATGGTATACTTACTTCACAAAATTGAAAAATACCTTTAATATTATACCTTTTGTATTTATTTGTTTATTTATTTAATTTTATAAGCAAACAATAGGCCTACTACAAACAGTAGTGAAGAAACAGACATTTAACAATGTTAACCGGAACATTATAAGCTGAATAAATTATCATTATCATATCATTCATCATAGCTAGGGAAGTGCAATAGAAATATGTGTCAAAGTCAACATAAACATACAAAAAGTTAAATAATTAATTGTAATTTGTAGTTAGGTTCTAAAAGAAAACACAATCAGAGAAAAGGCATTTTACTAATTTTGATATTCTACACACAACAGGACTAATCATGTTTGAATGTTTCACGTAAATCACGATTTTTTAAACATTCAATAACCAAGCACACGTCTGACCAATTACTTTAAACAATCTGGAAACATGCACATTTTTACAAAATAATGATATACACAGATAAAAACTTACACTGTCAATTAACCTGATTAACTGTTGATTCTGTTTTATCTCAGGATTTTGGTACCCTCTACCAAGGCTGCAGATTAATTGAAAAGTGCAGAAAGGTGCCATGAATTAACACATCAGTGCATAACGAGTGAAAAACCGATCTGTGGTCCTGGCAGAAGGTAGGATTTTGGACATGGCGCGCACCGATAGGCATTCGCCCTGAAAGTGAACGAAACGGCCTGAGAGCATGTAAGTCAAAGAACATCAAAGTAAACAATCCATTGGTATTGAAATGTGCTTCTGTCTTCTTTTCTTTTACCTTCAAATTGGACCTGTCTTAGTTTGAATTGCACTTTCATTATATTAGATAAATTTAGGCTTATCTGTAATAATGAATTATTTGAACACGGGTTTTACTTAGCACTAAAATAGCTGTTATCAATGTTTTATATAATTTTTAATGTAAAATCTTTAAGTATATATTTGCATTGGGACTTATTGCACACTACATTTAAAATGTACGCTTTTTTCGGTTCCCGGTAGTTTTTGAGCCGGAGAATAAATCATATAATTATTTCTATCGTTTACCTGTCAAAAGTTGTGGGACTGACAACTGGCGGGGAAAAAAATTGAGGTTTCTGGACCGACATGAAAGCTGTTAGATGAGGACCGACGGTTTTTTAAATTTCAAACAAACTAAACTTGGCATATAAAAGCAAAAAAAAAAAAATAAATAAATAAATAAATAATCATGATGTTTTGGTTACTGAAACTGAATTCAAATTCCATATATTAGACCCTAGTTAAAAGTATCGATATTCTAAATAAAAACGCCAACATAAATCACTAAAGTACGGACGTTTTTCTAATCATCTTAAATATGGTCAAAATCACTAAACTGCACCTATTACACATAAAAAAGTCTAAACACACCCAACAGACATCATTTAGGTCTAAAATTGGGGCTTTCACACAAATATTTCAACAAAGAAGCATTGGCGCAGCTGTGCAGCACAACTAACGCATTCATAATAGGCTACTATATAAAAACTCGCCAAACAGCTTCACTAAACACGATTTAAATTAACTAAAAATACTTAATTTCTCATCTGTACGGCTAAATATTCTGATGATTTCACTGGTATTTTTTGTAGGAACAGTTACATTTTCACAACTTATTCAGACTGACGTTACGATTCAGTGACGATTTAAAACAAATTGGGATGGGTCTCATCTTGGCCATACCCCATGACCTTGATTGACCTACTAAAGGAGATTACACGTTTGTGTCGGCGGACGTCGATAAGACTGTAAACACGACGCAAAAAAGTTATTGAAAGCAGAAAAAACGTCAAATATGCAATTTAATGAGCTAAGAAACAAAATAGTTGATGAATTGTCAACTGTTGGCCACCGCCAAGTACTACTAGCAGTCGCGGGCATCATCGGCGTGCACTTCGTCTGGGCCTGGTTGAAATGGTTCGGGTTGAGGGTCAAAAATGCAGGAAAGCGAAAGAGAAAACGCGAGGAGAGACAAAAGATGATAGACATCGTGCGGAATAGTCATGTACAGTCAGAGACATACGCAGAGGCTGTAAAATACGGTAAACACAAGCACCACGTAAGTTGTACTTATTTAAACGAATTTAAAAAAAAAAACAGTGTCCAAGATGTGGTGAATGTTTTTTTTTTTTTTTTTTTTTTTTTTTTTT